ATATATATATATATATATATATACACACACGGCAGGGGGACAGTTAATGTCGCTTTATGTCATAGTACTGGCAAGAACTTAAAACTACTTTCACCCCTGGTGATCAGCCCTTACTCACCTGATACCAGATGTTTCTCAGACAACATAATCTTTGTCACTGGACTCCTGTGCACAGTGAAGGTCTGAAAGAGCTGAGGACCCGATCCCACCGTCTCTGGGTGCTGCACGATCACTCTCACTGCCCCGCTGCTGGTCCCATAGGCTATCTCTATCCAGTTCCCACTCACACCTGAGAGCAGACGCAGACAAGCGGGCGATAGACAAATAAAAAAACACTCACAGGTGAGGCTGTACATATAAAACTGTCTTCATATCCTAGAAGCATAACAGGAAAGAAAGAAGAAAATTAGAACTTAAGTTTAGACTAGACATGGGTTTTTACGATGTAAAAACAAGTGTGCATTGCCATGTAGCCTGTCATTGCAGCATGGCTTTGCCTGCAACAGTGGACTTGCAGAATGAAATGTGACCAAGTTCAAATGTGTTTTCTATATCAGCTTGTGCCTGTCAAGTCAGCAGGTGTTTGTAATAAGGGTAATTGTGTGACAATATGAAGTTTGTAGAGATTTTCTGTTAAAGTTGCTGCTGCTGGATTTCAAACCGTAATCTCCCACATGAAAGCCCACGGCACTAACCATGTGACCATTGGAGCTGTGGTAGAGGACGAGGCCAGGGTTTGGTTTGTGTGTGTGCAGAAAGTGGCCACATAGCCAATGTAATGGTTGTCACTAATTTGAAAAATATTACAACAATAAAGCAATATTAGGACAATATTTTAATAAAACATCAAAACACAATCATATTAGTATTGCAAACACTGAACTATTGAGATTAAATATTATTAAACTATGGTGCAGTACTGAGTAGATGCAGTTGGGGCAGTATTGGACCAATACAAGGCTCCATTGACTTCCATTATAAATTATTAAACATTAATATTTCAAAAATTATAAGTTGTACAGGCACCAAAAGTCATAGCCATCATTTGGCACAGGAGCTTTACAAATATAAATTACAATGGCAGCTCTAGGACAAAGTATGCAGGAGGAGAAGCATGGCAAAGTGGAGATGACTTGGATGAGAAACGAATCACAATAGTGTGCATTGCATTGGCAATGCACACTGATTAATATAACTACATTTACATTTCAATTCTTTATAAAGAGCCAATTAAAAACAAACATAAAAGCTAATCTAGTTTTTTTACAGTCCAACTCAATTAATTTCATTACATTTGTTTTAGAACCTCGTTAAAATCCAGCATGTAAGTTGTAACAGTTGAGGCTCCACCTTGGTTTACTCATGCATGTTAATTTCAGAAGCAAAAACTTCCACTTCACTCCAGTGAAGGAAACAACACAAAATTTATTCCACAGCTATTGCATTCTTACAGGAATATTCAAAACAAATTGTTTTCTGAAGTTAACATTGCTACGGTAAGAAAACTGTATGGCTCAGTGCTTCACAAGCCTCAACTGAAGGTGCTGGCTTCCAAAACCCACCTCCACACTGGAGCCACGCCTCTCCTAAAGTGACAGCAACCTATTTTACGGTTTAAGCATAAATTTACCAAAACAAAACTTCTTTACGTAACATTTTATCAACATATATTATCAAATAATATCAAATGAGTTTTTAGCATATCTTATTCAGTGAAATTGTCTATTTGTTACCTTTTTATCTAAATAAATAAAATAAACCTTACACAAAGACACACAAATCAAACTTATTCACGAATTTAAACATGTGAACAAATTTGGCTCCTACATAAATGTTTAAAAAACAAAAACTTTGTCTATTTGACCCAAAAAAACAGATTTTATTTTTGTCTTTACTTTGATTCTGCCCCCCATCTTGAGCGTGAATGAAGCAGAATGCCACATTAAAGTGGAGAACATCGTTAAAAATGAGACAAGTGGTGATGAGACGGGGGGGGGAAAAAGGCAAAGAAAAACAAATGCACCAGGCTGGAACGACCTGCAATACAATGTCTTGTTTTTTTTTTTTTTTTTTTTTTTTTTGTTTTTTGACAGATGCACTTACTGGTTTTAGGTGTGAGGTACACAGACAGAGCGGTGATGGCATCGTTTGAAGGATCGTGATAAAGCTCGGTGACTAAAAGGTCGTTGTCCTTCATCCTCAGCGGGAACTTCTGCATGTCTGAGAACGACACGTTGAGATTTTGAGATCAGAGACACAAATAATCCACATAATAAATCTGAAACATTTAAATATATATATATATTTTTAGTAAAAGGTAAAAACTTATAATGGTGGTGTTATAATTATTTTACAAGTCATATTGAGTATCTGAACAAAAACCTGATTAATGCATCATATCCTTGTGCTTTAACACACGTGTGTGTGTGTGTGTGTGTGTGTGTGTGTGTGTGTGTGTGTGTGTGTGTGT